GTACAGTATTTGCACATTCGCTTTTACATAGTGTTCTTTGAATTTTTTTTTTTTATAAAATAATGAAACAAAAACCCTGAAGTAGTTGCTTTTAAGTTGAAAAATGATACATTTATGTTCTAAAGCATGTGCCATTAAGATTATATTAGTACTTAACGTAAAAATGATATTTTGTTTTCTAAACTTAATTTTCTGGGTTGTATTAATGAAGGTTATTATATCTTCAGATTCTAAATACTACAGCTTGATCTTAGCTCTACTGACTGGAAAAAAATATTAAATTGTTATATATCAGTGTTAATAACCTTAAAATGTATGAATTAAGTTGAATAGGTTTAAGTCTGTGATTTAAAAAATTCTGCAGTTACAAATATTGTTGGAATTTTTTAATCTCATTTTATATGGGAGTGTTCCATTACTTCTGGGAATATCAAGAAGGTTAATAACTTGAAATGTATCTCTTGAAAAGCTGTGTTAAAATCTAACCTTTCAGAGGCTCAGCAGTAAGTCTAAAGGCTTATAATACTACAAAACAGGTTTGGATACCCCTTTGATACTAGTGATTTTGTTACTGTATACCTTTCATAAGTTTTGATTTAAAAGAGTAGATGAAATGTGTTTTAGATTGGTTATTCTTAAGCCTAGTTTGAATGTTTTAATGTAACATCACGTACAAGTCTTCCAGAAGCTAGGCACATAATAAATAAATATATATCACATCAATACTGCTTTTCAACATTTTTAAGTAATTGATGTATCTCTCTTCAGTAAAGTAGAATTGTTTTCTTTACACGTCTAACACAATTGTTTCTCTAAATTGTATTCACAGTGTGGTACAGTTATTTCCGAGAAAGGAAATTATGTATTTGTATTATTTTTGTTGGGAGATAATAAACTTACAAAATTGGAAGTTGTATATGGTATAAACACGTAAAAGATTTAATCAAAGTGCATATAACTTAAGGTGGTTCTACTTGTTAACACTTAGTTTTAATCACGAAAGTATAATAAAAAATCTTTAGAGTGAGGTTCTGCTAAATGACAAATATTTACTGCAGATTTCACTGACAAGTAATGTTTTAAACCAATATTCGAAAACACAGATTGAGAACCATGTGTTTAAAGTTATGTCACCAATTCTTTTGTTATCAAAACTGTGTGATACTTTTTATTCCATTTTATACGGTAAATTTTAGGGCTTTTAATGCTAAAATTAGGAGTTTGATCCTTATTCAGATAGCCCATTGTGTAGCTGAAACAAGTATTTTATGTTACACGTGTTCATTATTTAGAGATCTGTGCTATGATTTCATTGGTGCCAACAAAGATCTACAGTAACACCATCATCTTATGATAGTCAGCTAGTTCTTTAGAAAACAACTGTAGATGGAAATCTGACAGAATGAGATTTTAAAATAATTGGACGTACACATAAAAAGATTGGGTATTAATGTTTTAAAACATTTAATTAGTCTTGTGTGATTATCAAGTTAGTCCATCTGGTAACATGACAAGTTGAAAGTAGTTTCTGAATTCTTTTTCTACAAAGTCAAGTTAAAAATTTGATTATAGAAGTTGTCCAAAATGGCTCAGAATGCATCCAAGACATGTACAACCCCAGAGCTTTTGGGGGCTGCCTAGGCCCCCAAACCCCTGACCAGTAAATATATTTTAGTCGAAATGATCATAAGATACTGTCATCTAGACATGCAATCAACATTTTGACACTTAGAGCTTGAGCTTCATGTATTTTACCCGATAAAATGATAAGTATTTGAATATAAGATGTACTACCAATGATATGATATGATATGCATATGTTCTACTATAGGGTCCGACACCAAGGATATGATATGGTATGCATATGTTCTACTATAGGGTGTGACACCAATGATATGATATGTTTTATTATAGGGTGCAACACCAAGGATATGATGTGCATATGTTTTATTATATGATGTGTACTTTGTATCCCTTGGTGTTACATCATATAATAAAACATATGCACATCATATCCTTGGTGTCGCACCCTATACTAGAACATATGTACTTTGTATCTCTTGGTGCTATATGTTCTACTATAGGGTGTATTAATTTTGCAATCTCTTAAAACTGATCAAAAACTAACAAGAAAGATTGCTGAGTAAATATTAAAGAAAACTAACTTCTCATTCAAAGTATCAGTAAAACAGTTGCAGCCTGTAGTGACATGCTTAACGTGAGGCTTTAAGAGCCATCATTTTTTCTCACTATTCAGAGGTACCACTTGTTGTGATTTTTGAAGCACACCTGTAATGTTTAAGAGGGGTATTTCAGTAGTTTCATGTGTTTGAAGGAATTCATAATTGGCTATAGTGCTAACTACGTTTCTTACAGCCTCTGGGAGATCATGGTTTGTAACATCTGTGGATCTCAAGGTTGCCACGTTGGCTGTGGAGATGTATCAATCAAAATGATGTACTGGGAGTGTATGGAATGTGCAACTGTCAGTTCCAAAGGTAATTATTGCTGGTTACCAAGAACAAAGTTTATAGTTAATAGCCTACTACTTCCAAAGTTAAAAAGAAAAGTTTAAGATTATGTGGTTTATGAATGATAATCTGTATAGGACACCTCTGTGTATTTCTTTTTTAGCTAAACCTATATTCCTTTGAAGTTGTGTTATTCTCTGTTATTCCACAGTGGATGAAAGAAGGTCATCTCTAGCTACTCCAATAAATACTGACGTAGTTGAGGTAGAATCTGCACACGAAGTCCTGAACCTAGAAACATCCCCAGATAAGGATACCTTCGGTAGGAAACAACAGTTCCCGAAGGAAGGAGTGCCAACAAAGAAAAATAAAAAAAAGAAGAAAAAGAAAAAGAAAAAATCCACTTCTCCAACTCCAACCTTAGTTACACTCAAAAAAACAAAAAAGAAGAATTCCAGCAGTAAAGATGATAATAAGTTGTTCCCAGGCAAGATGGAATGGACATATGGTGAGGGTGAGTGGTGTAAGCTGTTGTAATCAATTGAACTTAGTAATGGCTAATTTCAAGTTATAGTACTTCCCTGGTGGGGGCCTGGCATGGCCAGGTGGTTATGGCACTTGACTTACAACCTGAGGGTCGTGGGTTCAAATCCCCGTCACACCAAACATGCTCGCCCCTTCAGTCATGGGGATGTTATAATGTCACAATCAATCCTACTATTTGTTGGTAAGAGCGTTGGCAGTGGGTGATGATGACTAGCTGCCTTCTCTCTCGTCTTTCACTGCTAAATTAGGGACGTCTAGTGCAGATAGCCCTCGCGTAGCTTTGCACAAAATTCAAACAAACGTTACCCCTAGTGGAACAGCAATAAGTCTTTCACCAAGTTTACATTTAACATACAATGTTGATTTAGAATGACTTACCTCTCAGTGTAAAGAAGATACAGAGTATCAAGATTCTCCCTACATAAATGGAATATACCAATACTATGTGTGTGTGGTGTTTTCTTATAGCAAAGCCACAATGGGCTATCTGCTGTGTCCGCTGAGGGGGAATCAAACCCCTGATTTTAGCATTGTAAATCCCCAAACCTTTGAATCTTGTTTGTAGTAACTTGACTTCTACAATTAAATCTATCAGTATTTTGAATTTTAAGGTAACATTGCATTTCTCCTTTTTTTTCAGTAGGTTCACATTCTTAACTTTCAGCAACCAACTTAGTGCTGAAGTTCATGGCTAAATATTATTAAAAAAAAGTCACTAATTGTGTAGCTCCATTTGACGTCTCGCTAAAATAAATTATACAATAAATAAAAGAACTATTGAAACTTTGAGCTAAAACTTTAAAATGGTCACCAAACAACCTGGAAAAACCCTAGTAGTCTAAAACAAAATACTAACACTGCTGAAAACTTTTTTTTAAAGTAGTAAAATGAATCATACTGGGATCATGTATAAATTTTACATTTTATGCAAAAATTAGTTTTCAAGTGTACAACCAATGGTGTTTGAAATTACTTTGCAAGTCAGCTTTGATGTTGAACGTTATGACTTATTTATCTATAATAGTTGTCATTGTAATTAGTTGCAACAACTTACTAAAACCAGTATTCAAGTTCGATGACGAGGAACCCACTTTGAGACTAATAATGGCTGGAGACGGCTTAAATGGGTAATGAAGAAAAACTTTAATATAAGTTTAAC